TTTTTTTTTATAATGAACAGGTTTATTTTATTAAGCATGTGGTGCACACAGAAATGTTATGAAAATCCTCAAAGAATGGTTGGGTGTGACACTTACCCATTTAACAAAGGGAGATACACTGTGGAAAAGTGACAAGATATGACTTTGGGTTTCTAGGGGTGATCAGTTGTGAGAAGGTAAATATATGGGGGAGAGTGATGGAAGAAAGGGTCATTTCAGTAAAGCTTGTTATGAAGATTCAAATTGGTTTGAGGGAGATGTTGGGTTCAGTGAGCTGGGTCCTTGTGTTATTTGTGAGAAAAGTTTCACCTGAGTTCCTGTTTCAGCGGCACACACTTTGTTTCCCTAGGAAGAAGGCAGTTAGTTTTATACTAAAGGACAGGTTTATTATATGAAAAAGGAAAAGGAAGACAAGAATGCTTGCGCAGACACAAGCTGGCAGGAAAGGCTGCCTCTAAAAAAGACAGGTGGGTTAAAAGTGACACCTGCATAGACAAAGTTAAGCAGTCTTGGGAAAGAGCTGTATTTTTGTTAGGATAAGTTTAAGAGGGGCCTACATAGACACGGGTGGGCAGGAGAGCTGTTTATTTACTTTGATTTTTTTTTTAGCCATTCCTTTGTGGAGCTTGTTTACTTATCCTTTAACAATTCTGGTATTTTATATGTGGTTTACAAAAACAAATTATTCTAGTCCTCTAGAAAAAATATCATTATATTGGTACAATTTTACTGCTACATGTCAATCATGTTAAGTTGGAGGAAAATAACATAATTGGGGCTTTATCTAAGTTTATGAAGTTGAAAATTTTCTTTTCATGTGATTCTAAATATCTTGGAAAGATTTGATAAGTATGATTTATGTATAGCCTATATTTCTTTAAGAAAAATCAGATTTCAATTTTTATGCTACTATAAGTTATGTACTATAATTATGTCAGCCAAGGTCCATCACGTGACAATGACTTGGTTTGATTTTGTAAAAATTGTATTATGTAGCATTGGGTTACAGTACTATTATAATATGATGTTGGAGTATAGGTTCAAATTAACCAAATTAGTTAATTGCTTTTTCTCATTTTCCAGCCCACATTATGAAAGAGAATATCATTATTTATTTTGCTCAAAATGTTTATTTCTTCATTGTGTCTTATAAATATACCTTCCAACATATTCATTAAAATTGTATTCTTCATTCCTGGGGGTAGGGACAGAACAATACATTCAAACTGACCATTATAATCAATCAGTGGGTCCTTGAAATATTATTTGTGTCACAAATTAAATAGGTAGCTGTCATGGAAGTCTTTGAGACAGAAAACTGTGTCACCCAAGTTTGCTAAGTCAGGAATTAAAGCACCAAACAGGAAAGCTATGGGTTAACTTTAAATGCTACAATAAATTATGATTCTTTTAAAGCAGAAACTCCTACAGCAGATTAGAGTACAACATTCTGATAACTTATATGTCAGATACTTAGAAATTAATGGCAAAATATTAAACTGAAAAATAAAAGTTATCTGTTACTTATTTTAAAAAATATTTATTTATGCATACAGAACTGGGGTACAGGCCAGAGGCACAGGGACGGTGAGAGGCTTCACCAGAGACAGAGTGGGGAGCAGAACAGGCAAATGGATGAAGCACACTGCTGAGGAGATCAGTGGGTGAGGCAGGGGAGGTCTGGCACACCATGTTGGTCACCTCCAGGGCAGGGGATCGAACTCACACTGAAGTGACTGCGGCTAGCTTGCAGTGTTGCGCTTTAACGAACTGCGCCACCAGGGAGGGCTCCTGTTACTTTTAAACGATAACTTAAATATAGAATACTTTTTTAGCAGTCTAAGTACATATACCACCATACTTTCTGTTTCAGAAAATTTGTATAAAATTAATAATGCAGAATTACATTGGTAAATGTGATTAATATAAGGGACAAAGGGTTAAATGTGAGAATATAGACATCTGTTTTAAGCTGTTTATATAATATCCATAAATTGTCATTTCATAATTTTAATTGGGAAAGTAACCAAGGGAAAGTCTTCATGGAAAATTATACCTGAAAGAGACTACAAGACTTCCAGTAAACAGTTCCCCCTACTCTGAGCAATTTTATCATTTGTAAGAAGCTACTAATATCTCTACATTACACACAAGTAATATTCCATGCCCTTATTTACCATTTTATATTGAATAAATTCTTTCTCTTCAACAGGATTGTGCAAAACTCAAGTAACTTGGTATAATGAAGTTATGATTGTGGACTAAAAACAAAATGCTGCTATTTTATTTCAACTGCATTGACTAAATACTAAATGCAGGAAACAACTGAAAGCCACTCTAATTAGACAAGGTATGATATAGTTAGCAAATGAAAAGCCCCAAAGTATAATCATTAAAAGTTCTATTTCCATTTGGTTTGAGCATATATACATATATATATACATATACATATATTCCCACTTTTATTTAAAAAAAACGTCTAATTGGGGACTAAATTTATAAAATCTATTTTTATCTGGTTATATACTTTATCCCAAATAAACCTAGATAAGATAAACTTTCTATCAACCCTCTAAAAGGCATATGTTGACTCAGGATATAAGTGAATGTTACCTTATTCTTACACAACACACAGTCAAGCTCAGATCTGTAGTTAGACTCCCTTTTCAGGAAGATTCTATTTTGTGTAATAGTAAAGCTGAAGTCAAGTATGTGACCTCAGTTTTGAGCTCAACTGCAGAACATGTCTAAGTCGATAAATTTTCAATTCATTATATATTAAAGACTAAAATATAACTTCGGGTAACATTCTAAAATTAAGCTATTTAAACTATCTCTTCTTTTCACTTAATAGAAGGGCAAAGCCCTGGAAATTAAAATATAAAGTCCAAAATATAACTCTAAGTTGCATAATATCACAATATTCAAACTCATTAATAACATTGTCCTTATTCACTGTGCTATAAAAATGAAGTTATTATTTCCGCAAGTTATGAAGGTAGATGTTCATGATACTTCACTGCAATTAGTTATGTATTCCACATCTTGTATGGGAGTTGACGTGAAATCATTCTTCTTTTGTGAGTTTGAAACATGTCTATACATAAAATAAGTGAACAATGGGCCCTCCTTGGTGGTGCAAAGGGTTAGAGCACAGCACAGCAAGTGGGCTGCAGCTTTTTCAGTGCGAGTTTGATCCCCGCCCCGAAGGCGACCCACATGGCGCGGCAGACCGCTCCTGACCCGCCTGCTGCTCTCCTCAGCAGTGTACTTCATCATTCTACCTGTTCCACTCCCCAGTCTGTCTCTGGTGAATACTCTCGCCACCCCTGCACCTCTGATCTGTACCCCACTTCTGTATGCATAAATACATATTTTTTAAAAAACAAATGAACAATTAGAATCAGCAAGTGATGAATTACTGAATCAGTCTCCGAATGGTCAGAGTCCTATGTGCTGACAACTTGACAAGGTGCCAGCAATGAATAATGACAAGCATCTGTATTTGGACTTTATTGAAGATTTCTCTTTCATTTTCCTATTCATTTATGCTGTATACCTTGGGAAAAATCATAGTGCACATAATATGAAATATTTACATGTTACTGGGTATAATGCTAAGCCAGATCATGACTGAAATAAATGTTTAATAAACATATCTAAAATATACTTTGAAAAGTCGACATTTTCCTGACCTATTTTAAAACAATAACCATGTGCTATTGTTTTGAGCACATGGTGCTTTGAAATAATAGCATGTATATAAAGAATAATATTATTATCATCTCCTTACTAAATCTCAACATCAAATTTTTCCCCTATCCCAGTATATAATTTGATAAATTCTAGATGTCACACTACAGTTTGTATAACCAGATGTTTAGTTCTTAAATAATTCATGTAATTTGCCTCTTTCCCCTAATCAGTATGGATTGTTACAAAGAATATCTAATCTTTGAATACTTTTATCGTTAAATATATGAAAATATATGTGTGTGGAATTGCAGGTTTAAAATGTCTAATTATAGGTACTGCATTTTGTAAATTTAATGGACAATGGTTTACTCTAATTTAGAGATATGCTGCCTTTGTCTCAAAAAATCTTTAGTTAGACAAAATAACAATAGTCTCTTGGTATACAGTAACAGTTTACCAGTTGATTTCCCTGGAATTTAACATGTTTATTGAAACAATTTAAAACAAACCAAATGCATAGGTTGGTCATTGG